TTTTCTGTGGGTTTTGGCTGTGGAATTTGCAGCAGAATTCCCTACAGATACACGAGCCAGTGTCTTAAGCATCCACTTTTCTGTGCCATGTTGCTAGTCCATAATACGGTAAGATAATATGCAGTTATGGGTAGTGTACCAAGTTGTCTCATTGCGTGAAGCTTTGGACTGGTAATGTGGTTCAGATTAACAGTTTAGAGCTGATAGAGTTCGACAGGTAGATTTGAGTCAAGCTCTGGAGTGAGGAAGGTAGAGAAATGTTAAGAATTTCATCCTTGTGAGAGTCTGGGAGCCTTGACCTTCCTGAATACCAGTGAACTCCACTTCTGTCAATATCCAGCTGTCAATACCTCTTAGCTTGTATTGCGTGGGTTGTTCAAGCATAATCATCTGTGAGTCATGTACTCACAATGTTAGCTATGTTTTAATTGGTGACACTTGCTCATAAAACACCCAGAACCCAAGAGGAATTAGCACTGGGCTAAAGTACAGAGGCCAATAGTTGTGATTTAAACAGTCTCACTCCTGCTAACATTTCTGTACATTTCTGTATCTGTGATTATGTGGACTTCGATTCCTGTGTTAGAGGACTTACTGATGTACTTAGTTACTGATGGACTAATAGGATGTTGCTTGAGAAGGAGAGGGAATGCTTAAAGTGGAATAGATGTTGAGTTTTTTAACTATAATCTCTGCTTCATTATACTGTCTTTTAGAAGTCAGCTATGTCACATATGTGCACTAGACATGCATACTGTCAGTGAGATTCAGAACAGTGAGACCGTACATGGAAGATCATATAAATTACCTTACCAAAGCTGTGGTTCCTAGTCTCTCAGGCTGTGCTTTGCCACGTGCCTGTAAAAAGGGGTATGTGGAGCTGCTTGGAGCTGTGCCTGACTTAACCAGATGTATTCCTAAGGTGATTGTTTTGCTCCTGGTACTGAACCTATCCCAGGTATCTCTATATAGTTCTGTATTTTTCTGCTTAAATCCTTGACCCTCAATGTAAGTCCATGTTTTTAGATCTGGAAGTCCTTGTTTTAGTTCCTGCTAACACTGTTGAGAGATGGGTAGGTGCTGCTGAGCAGCTCAGAACCCAGAGCCCCTGGTGTACTTTCCACCACTATCATTTGGGCAGTATTGATGTCAGTTATTTCCTCTGTGGGCTGGTCCTCTTAGCAGATGACTTAGGAAGTCTTACCATTTCTCAAGCTGGGAACTGTTATATTGATAGTGATGCTGATGTAGCAGAGGTTTTGTGTGTTTGTTTACAACACAGCAAATACAGGAAGGAAAGCTGTGCTGGAGCTCTGGTCTCCAAAAGTAGTTTTATCTGACCACCTTGGGATAGTATGGAACTTCCCATTTGCTGTACTGCTGTGGGAATCAGGAGGTTACGTCTTCTTGTTCTGTGTGCTGTGTCCTCTGAGCACACAAGACCTTTAATTGCCTTCTCAGTTGGAATCTTTGAAATAAGATTTTGGTCCCCCATCTTTGTCCTGGCTTTCTACAGCATCTTTACTTAATTTGTGCTAATTGTAGTTGTTTTTAAGAATGCCAGAGGTAATGGCAGTTCAGCTCCTTACTAATTCAAGCCTAGCCAAAACAGAAAGAAGGAAATGGTGGCTTTCACTCCTACGGCTAGGTTGGGGTGAAAGGAAAGTTTGTCTTTTGAGATACTTTGCTCCAGTCATGGCCCCAAAATATTCTAATGGCTGGAGCAACTCTTTTCATGGAAAAAAAACCATGGAACAGCAGCTCTGTTGTGTCTCCAGAATACCACTTTGTAGGTGAAAGCACCAAATACAGCCCTGTGGGACCAGTAAGCTGTGTGCTTACCAGTAGCCCAGGAACTCTTGCTCTGCATAGTTTAGAAGTATTTTTCGTTAAGGTTATAACATGTGGGGATCTCAAATCCAATCCCTGTAGGACAGTTAGATGTTGTTCACCTAATGATTTCTCCAGAAGAAATATGTGCAGTGCTGTAGGAAGCAAAGGATGTATTACTTTAATGATTCTTTAGTTTGTTCTCTGGATTCTACCCATAATATTTTTGAAACATTTACGAGTGATAATCATTTAGGAATAATAGTAGTGTCTTTGGTAAACTAATTATCTCAGCAAGGTAGATGATTCGAGTTCTTCTTTAAGCTTTTGCAGGCCTTGCAAACTCAAACAGCAATAATAAGACTGGTTGTGCTAAGACAGTCTCTGCTAACTCAGAATAACTACTATGGGGTGGAAGGTTTGACAAAGAAGTCCATTCCTCCCGCTCTCACCTTACAAGATTCAAACTTTTATTTATTGATGTACAGGGACTCTTTTCTTAAGAAATCAGTTTAAGTTTGATGTAAAGTGATACATTGCTCAAGCACACGTTTGTGTTGTAGAACTCTGCCACATGGTATTAGAGAAGTCAGAAGGTTTTCAAAATGTAACAAAATAAATATTTATGGGAAGAGTAAAGATTTATTCTGCCTAATTATATAGGACAAAAGGAGAAATAAATCTCATGGACATTATTTCAGCTATTGGACTGGTAGTTTGTTTAGATGCAGGTTTGTTAACGTCCCTTGTCTGACAAGCTCCATGAAAATACTTTTCTGCTTGGCTGAGTTTAAAGCAGCACGCTGTGTGAGGTGGACAGCTGGAGGGAAGAGATCCAGAGGAGCCCCAAGAGCATTTCCCAGGCAAGCGCTGATAGTGGCAGCCAGAGTCGTCCACTGCTCCATTGCATGATAGGAGGGAACATGCCATTGGGTTCCAGAGGGGCCTCGCAAGGTGCCTCTGGTTTCCTCCACAGCCAGGGGTTTGTTGGGTTACCCTAGTCTACAAGTCCTACTTGAATGGCTTGTGACCTGTGTTGCAGATCAGTATCTGGAATTTGATTTTGCTTGGCTTACATTTGTGATACAAACAGAGTGTGTTCAGATACACCTTTGTGCAAAGAACCTAGATCTTCATTCACTGGCCATAGCAAATCCTGCCCTTTTTCCCTTCTGCCTGAACTGCTAGAAGTCACAAGGAAGTATGGACATCCACAGATCAGCTGTGTCCCTTAGACTTATTCAGGTCTGGGGGCCTCTGTGTAAGATACTTAAACTGTAGTTCGACACTGGTAGTGTTGAATGGCAAAATTACCAAGCTGGCACCGAATGTTCTGCATCATGAATCTGTATACAGTTGTCCAAATACACTCCCCTCAGTTCTTCCTATAGGACTTCTTATTCTAGTCATCTTTAGAACTTAGCTCTTAGCCTGTATTCAAAGCAAAATAAAATAAATGGAAATGTCTGCAATCTTCTTTTTCCTTCTGTTTTTAAGATAAACGTGACTGTCTCTACTGCTGCCCCTCCATCAAATTCTGGAGTTGTTTGTAAATGTACTTGAGCGGAAGTTTTCATATCTACAAGAATAGATTAAAAAAATTTGCAGCAGTATAGAGCCTTTTGTCCAAAAAGAATAATAATTACTTTTAGCTATTACGTTTACAACTATGATGTAAGGAAGGTAGTTTTGTCTGGTGTCGGTTTATCTGATGCCGTGTTTTCCACATAAGCAAGTAGAGGCGTAAGGATTCATATAAACAGTATAATTGAAAATGGAGTTCAGATATTTTACCTGATACCTTCCCTTTGCAGGAAATCTAACTTTCTTCAATGGTGTATTTGGTGTTTTGGACCTGCCCCCCAAAAAACTAATTCACAGAAGTGGTATTTAAGTAGTGTTCCAGAGACTGCATGGGATAGCCTGCTCAGCCGCTCTCTGTCTTCTCTTTCAGCTGTAAATAGAAGGTGTCTCTTCATAGAGGTAGCAATGTGGCAATGGTAAACAAGATTTCTGCAAATAATATTCTACAATTTCTACAAATCTGTTTGGTGTCACACAGGCCAAGATAAGGCTGTGTGTCAAAAGTCTTGGTTTAATTTGGGTAGAAGTGTGGATGTATTATCCAGGTCCAGTTTGTAGAACTCTCTGCTACAAAGTATTTCTGGAGAGGAGACTTTCATAATGGAAAGAATTGAATATTTATAGGGATGATCAGGATGTTCCTAGTTCATTATGTAGGAAAAAAGAACACTAAAGGCTTATGTGTCCAGAGCCCTTGCACTGGAGAGTAAGCAATCTGTTAGCAAACAAGCTTGGGAAGAAACTCATCTTTGGATAGGCAGCTTATACCATTGGAGGCTTTCTTACCTCTTCCTCCAGTTTCTGAGAGACCGCTGCTCCAGTCTGATTTGGCAATTGCTATATTCCTGGCGGCATTGGCTCAGATGTTCAGTGTCTTGATTACAGACAAGTGGGAAGAGATCTGTCTCGGTAATGTACTTCCATTAGGCAAGTATCACGTACTAAGGGAAGCTTAAATTTGTTTGAATTTGGTTGTAGGCAGCTTGATCTTTATTGTGCTGTACCAATTTCTTTATAGAGAGACGTTCAGCTTCGTTAAAAGCTTTGGTCATCCTATGTGGTCACAGCTTGTGTTATTTTTCAGCCAACTTTCTAACCTCAGCAGTTTGGTTCCTTTGTTCCTTTCCCTGAAGACTGTAGACTGGTTGTGTTTTGAAAACACACAAAAAAAAAACCCTGAAAAAAACACCTGAATGTTTTCTTTCTATAATGAATGTTGTCTTATGCAATATTCATGCACTAAAAATCATTAAGAAGAGTGTGGTGGAGTAGCAGGGGCAGGTGACGTCGAAGTGCTTTGTGTCCTTCTCTTTTACACTGCATTGTGAATTAGCCTTTTTGACTCGAATACACAGATGTTGGAAAACCCAAAGCTGGATGAAGAGTGTCATTCTGTTACACTGAAGCCTGTGTTGGGCTTGATTCACTGTTCCATTACAGGAGGAACTGTAGCATAGCTTTGTGGTAATAGCATGAGGAGCTGCAGAATCAGGACCTATATCAGTTTTAATAGCGCTTGCAAAGAATAGGAATATTTAATTTTTATTTTTCTTCCGCATCAATCTTTTTTTTTTCCCTCTCAACAGGATCCACTTTGTGTAGCTATGAACTACAGCCATCAGAATATACTACAGACCCAAGGGCCGCCAAGTTATGTCCTAAATACCCTGTTCCAGAGAGGTAATATTAACATCTTGTCTGATTGGGGGTGGAGGGAGCAGAGATTTGTTTTGTTCATGATAGTTCTTTAGAAAATATGCAGCACAAATTTATTTTTTCTTACAGGTGGATGTTGTAGTGTATTATTGCCATATGTTTTTAAAAGACATTGTGAAAGCAGCTCTTAAGAAAAACCTGAACTACCCACGCATGTGTTACTGAGGGTGTTGAGCTGGTATCTTCAAGTTCTCTTCTGTCTCATGTAACTGACACTGTGCTGAGTATCAGCTGTTCTAATTGCCTTTCACCCTATAGCCAGCTGCCTGTCAGCAGCGCAGATCAGAGACAATTATGGAGCACTTTGGATCTTTGGGACAAAAAAGGATATATTCACATGCAGCTCTCTGCAGTGTTCACTTCTTACACCTTGCCTCAGCCAGTGAGATTTAGCAAATTGCTTCATTTTTTATTCTTTCAGTCCCAAAATGACCAATATGAGGATGGTCAAGTACCAAAAAGAGGGCTGTATTTTATAAACAGATCGATTTGAGTTTTATTGTTTAAAATATCTTACTAAACTGCTTTTTGTGAAGTAGGAGAGGAAAGTTTGTAGCTCCAGAAACTCTGCTAGCTATGCTGGCTGGAACTGTGGAGATGAGCATTGCTGAGAAAAGAAGTGATCTCTTCACTGTTCTGCACGCCCTTGTGTCAGTAATTCCACTCACTCAAGAAGAATCATGTTGTGTTTTCTCAAAGTTTAGCTTCTCAAATGTATTCAGTAGTGGGTTGTAACTGCAGTCTTGCCCTATGCATAGTTTTCTGTTATGGTTTTATTAACTGTTACAATTGTGTCAGCTCTAAAAACTTCAATTTTAAGTCTCTCTTGTCTGCATGGTAGCTTCTCCAGTGAATAATTTTTTTATATTGTAGTGACAATAAGTAGCACCTGGAATATTAACTTTTTTTTTACTTCTCCCCACAGCAGATTAATATTCCATGCAGCTAACCAGCTGTTATAGCTGTAATACAAAAACAAATGAAAACTTCAGTGCCAGCTTGCATACTGAAAAGGCTTGTCAGTCTTAATTTTTGCCAGAATTACATTGACTTTTCTCACTGTGTGTTCCCATGTCATTCAGTCTGAATGAATATAGTTTAATAAGAAAACAGGAGGATAGAACAGTGTGCCAGAGTGCTAATGACACTATGTAAATGCCTCACAAAAACTACCTCAGGAGTTGTTTTGGAAAAGCTATTGTGTAGGTGGAGTATTTCCCCTTTTTTATTTGATATGAATAAAATGCTCAATATGTTTGGATATTTTCTGAGATTGAAAAGTCTGAACTTAGTGCCCTAGAGCAAAAAAGGCCAATATTGTATCTGTAAAGCACTCTGTTTTTCAGATTTTTATAGTTAAATTATTTGAGTAAATTAGTGTAATTTGGAGGGGAAGTGGTATCCTGTGGTGACAAACAAATGAAAACCCAACACCCAGGCTGGGGCATTCAAGGAGAGCTTACCTAACACTCCTGTTTTCAGATTTGATCTGTCAGAGGTATGAACCATCATCTGACTCCCATTAGGTCCATGGGATGGAGATAGCGTATGCTGTGAGAACTGTCCCTTGATGTGTTCTGTTTTACGACCAGACTTCTTCGTGCCTTTCAGTTGAGGCTCCACCTTTCAGTGGACTCTGATACTCCAGCTTCAAGGCACTATGTCCAACTTTGACACAGCAGTGCAGTCTAGCAATGCAGCCAGCAATACATGTGTGTTCCAGAAACTGTGCCTAGCACATCTCAGCCACAGTAGAGCATGACTTCGCTGTTTAGTTTTGAAATAGAGGACCCTAGAGTAAAACCTATCCAGCTTTTCCCTGCAGTGTTTATCAAACAGTTGTGCCGAGCTGTGCCAAGGGGCTGCTCTGTAGAGGTTATAAGGAGCAGGTAGCAGTGGCACTCCAACCAGGCTCCCCAAACACAGGTTGCTATATATGCCCAGGCATAGTAGTGAGAGGAAAAAGCTCTCCTCTGAAATCTAGTACTTGAACAATCAGATGGGTCTCTTAACTTCATTTGAATATTGCTTTAAAAATACAATTTTTAATGTCATCATCTGCTGGCTTGAACTTTACTTGCTCTTGTTCATGATTAAGTATCTTGTTGTTATTCTTGGAAACATGTAATTCCATTTTGGTTTGTAATATACCAAGTTATAATCAAGAGGCCATACGAAATAGCACAGGTCACTGAGAATAGATCTATTATTGTATTTTTTATTAAATGAGACGCCTTACCTCACCCAGTCATTCAGTCAGAACCACTGAAATAGCAGCAGATCTCAAAAGGTGGATTCTCAGGAGTCCTATTTACTCAAGAAAGCTTGTAGGAACCACTAACCTCTTTTTTTTATTTATTAATTACAACAAAGTTAGACATTAATTATTGCACACAAAAATAGGTAACTTAAAATGTGTAGTGAAATTGCTATAGCTTAAGGGACATTAGATAGGTAATACAAACTCTGGTATGCAAAAAGCATTTTTTCCTCTGTTGGGATATATTTTGGAACAGTATTTTAATCCCATTAGCTTCTCTTTTCAAAATGGGTATTTTTGTATTTGGATGCAGGAATTACAGTCTTTTGCCTACTCCCAGCTCGGATTTTGCACTTTGTTATTGATATTGACAACTTCTAAATGCTCTAGGCTTTCTGCAAAGTTGGAGCAGTTAACAATTAAATAAACCTCTCAGATTTCAGTATTTCCCAGTATTACTGCATATAATGAACTGCAGTGCGCTGCATATTCCAAAATAGGCTATGTTGTAAGAGGCTGAGAGGATACATCGGCCGCCTTTTAAATAGGGCAGCCATCATTATGGGTTTAGATTGGTTTTTAACAACTGTGACTAATTCACAATTACTTTGCTGTACTTAACTGCTGTCTTCATCACTACCTAGAAGTAGACCATCAATATGAGCATCTCCAAATGCATTTACCTATCAGCACAGTAAGTTTAAAACCATGTAATTTACAATCATCAGTCACTTCAAACAAAAACCTAGGTTCTATTAATTAGCTAGGTATGGCAGGTGATCATAATTTCTCCTGAATTCTGTACAGAATAATTACACACTAATGGTTTTCAGCATCTGGTCTTTTTTTCCCCAAAACCAATGCATAGAAAGGATGTGCCTAAGGCAGCTGGTTTACTCACTACGTGTTTAAAATGACAGTTAGAATTTTGGAAATGCTTGGGCTTAACAAATAGTTATTGAGTACAGAAAATTGGTCGTTTATAGATCATTGCTGAAATGGGGAAACTGCAAAAGATTATGTGCATTGCTGCTACAGTCCACTGAAATCTTTTAAGTAAGGAAGATTGGGGAGTGTGAAACAAATTTAGAGGTTAGAAGAAAAGACTGACTTAATAAAAGACATTTCTTTCATTGGATACAATTACAGGAGGGAACGTGTAATTCATGGGACATGTGTCTGAGGTGTAATTCGGAAGATTGATCAAAAGATGTAATAGGCCACTTTGAGATCTGACATAGTTTATGAGCAAGAAAGGCAGCTACTTAATGGGAAACGTTTAGAAAACAAGATTACCCACTTTTAAAGTGAAGTTTTTGCTCTCTTGTATCTTCCTCTGATGGACTGGATAACAGGTTCTGTTGAGCGTTCTGCAAAGTATAATGCATAGCGTCAGTATTTTTGGGGAGGATGCTTCCAAAACATTTCAGGAATAATGAAAAAATAGAGGCATCTTTGCATGTTTTGCAAAGAACGTAGTGCATAATTTTATGAAACTTAATGAAAGTAAACACTGTGATTGTAATCTTCAATATGAGAGCAAGCTTAGTATGGGAAAAGACTAAGAATAAATAAATTGGTTTTGCTTGGCAGCAGTTGTAAGTGCTGATATCTTTTAGTATAACATCTATGCTTGCAAGAAGAGTGTTGTCATTCTGGGATTTCTTTTGCTGCAACTATGGGCCAGTATTCCATTCTAACACGAGTGAAGGGCATTGTTTCAGCTGCTGGTTCTCCACCTGAGGCTTGAATGAGAGACGTTTAAGCGGAAATAGGAACATGTATTTTCTGAGCCTTGCCATTTAAGGGTGGGAGGGTAATAATTTCCTACTGGACTGTGCACTCCAGCCTCACAGGGTTACTTGTAAGAACTGCATCACTTCCCATTATGATCATCCTCATTCCAGCAGCACTTGTGCATTCAACACATGGTTTCTGGTTATGATGTTACGAGGGTGGAGTGGTTGCATCTATTCACCTTTCATTTGTGTGTTGATGTGGCATTTATATTAAGTAGGAGTAATTTTTTTTTCTGATTTTTTTTTCTTGTGTCACCAGTGCACCTATTCCATTCTTCCATCGCTGTGCTCCTGTGAACATTTCCTGCTATGCCAAGTTTGCAGAGGCCCTGATCACCTTTGTCAGTGACAGTAGTGTCTTACACAGGCTGATTAGTGGAGTTATGACCAGCAAAGAGATTATAATGGGACTTTGCTTGTTATCACTAGGTAATTGTTTTTCTCATTATTAGCTATTTCTTAGTACTGCATTAGGAGATTGTTAATACCCTCTAACCACAATACGAGCAAAAAAATGTATGATAGCAATGAGCCCTTAGAAAATGGTTCAGAATGCTTTTTTTAAATGTTATTTGACAGCTGGATAACTTATTCAGAAGCAATATACATATGCATTCCTGTTTTTTCTCCTCTTCCAATGATTATGAGATACAGAGGATGTGTGGCAGTTGATTAGCCAACGTTAGTTTTGGTATAGTTAACAGAGTACCCTCATTATCCTCATTTTTATTATAATATTCACCTTTCCCTTTTCTAATATTCATCTTCTGCTAACCCAAGTCCAAATAAACCCTTTCCAAATAAAAAGGACAGGGTGAGAAGTGCACAATAGCACACTTGTCTAAAATGTAGGGGGTTTAGTTTGTTTCATTTAACATACTTTTGCAGGGGTATGAGAACTTTCAGAGGGAAAACAAGAAAGTTAGGTGCCCATTTGTTGTATTGTATGTTACCCCCTCCTTCCCCTTCCCCCAAAGTTAAAAACTTCAGACCTTTGAAAATCTCAGCCTTGTCTGACGAGCTGGAAATTCCCAGCAGTATAGAGGTGCTGAATCATTTCTATACTTGGGAGATGCCTCTGGCCTATAGAGTGACACATTGCACTAGACTGAAGTGGTGTTTTAATGAATTCTTGTGAATTAAGGTGAAATGCTACTCACCCACATAAATTACTTTCCTAAGGAGTTTATTTTACTCTTACCAAATCTGAAATCCTAAAATGGGAAGCTCTAGGTACTATCCGTGTATATGAGCAGTGTGTGGTTTAGAAAGAAACACTGAGAAGCTGTACCAGATAAACAGTTCCTTTGTTTTCAGTCTGCCTTTGTGGTTAAAAAAAAAAAAAAAAGAAAAAAAGGAGGATGCTAGATACCATTAAAAAAAACCCAAAACACAAAAGACCATTGAGTATCTTTTCAACTATAACTGGAAAGCTGTTTATTCTTCTGTCCTGATAGCTGCAGTATTTGATGATAATGTAGAAAGACTGTTCCCAATCTGAAAGCTAGTGGCTGATTAGCAGTGCTACTGTTGGGTTAGAGTCAGAAGTGAGTATGGAGTTTTGCATACAGCTAATTTAAAAAATATTTTTCATACCTTCATAGTTAAACAGAATTTACTTATTTTTAAACAATGGGTAAGATTGTGTGATTCAGAAAGCCATGTTCCAGTGGTTTTCATGTAACTGCTGTACACAAATAAGTATATGCGAAACTATGTGCATACACTTACACACACCACTCACTAAATCTTAGTTGGCTGAGATTGCAGAGGGCTTTTTAACATGCAGTTCCTGAATGGCAGTGGAACTATATGAACAAAGCTTGTTAAAGAACTCATTTTGAATGTTGAAAATAAAGTAGTAATTTTTTTACTTTTTATTGGCATGACATATTGGAATACACAGGTGTCACATTATCTGCACTTGTTTGACAAGTGTATTTGAGTGCAAATTCTGCTCTGGTCCTCAGGAGGTGTGCTCATGTTACCAGATTCAGAGTACTGTCATATCTTGCTGTCTGTTTTGTCATTGTCTAAATACATCTCTCTCTGTATGTATGCATTATGTCTTGTATTTAATGTACCATGTAAATGTATTTATGCTCTCTTTGTTTTAATCAACAGTATCAAAGCAGAAGGTGTAGAGATGCCTAATGTCCTTAACTATCTGTGCAGTGAGTTTGTAAGCCTCAGAAAATAAATCTCTGTCTAAAAATTGTTAGAAGGCAGTTATCTTAGTGCAGTGGGAGAATTAGGAAGGCTATTTCTACTTGAAATAATTGCTCTACTTATTTTATTTGTCTTCTTTTGCAGTGTTGTCCATGATTTTGATGGTTATAATCAGGTACATTTCAAGAGTACTTGTCTGGATTTTAACAATCCTTGTCATTCTGGGATCACTTGGTAAGTCTTGTTTGTCTCCCAGTTTTTGAGTGCCCAGTTCTAATCTTTGTGCTCCATGTCCTCAGGCCAGCTACACCCTGCACAGATCTTGGACCATGCTTTTCCCTTCAGCTTTCCTTTGAGTCCTTTGCAAGACGAATGTCAAAAAAGCCACCTTTGTAATTGCAGTCCTCTCCCAGAGAGTACGTTGCTTCTTAGAGATTTGCTGCATTCCCTGCTTGGCTGGCAAGCTTCCTGGCAGCCTGTCTCACTAGAGTCCACATAGGCGATATGGGATATTCCTCACAGCACTTGTAGCACAGCCCTAAACTTTGTCTACTTCTTAACCTGCCTTCCAAACATGTGAGCAAGACAGCTAGTCTGGGCATGTCTGATGGCATACCCACCTGCTGGCTGTGTTCAAGCATGCAGGAATCAAAGGGCAACTATTGTTTATGCAGCCTCAGGGGACGCTTAGGATGTAGATGTGTCCATACAACCCTGACAACTTCATCAGCCCCTTCAGTCCTCCAGGTAGCTCTGTAGGTGTAACTAAGATCTGTTCTTGAGGAGAGGAAGCAAAGGTGCTTTTCTAGCATTTCTAATCAAATCCTCGTATTTCCATATGACTCAAAGTCCTGCATGACCTACGTCATGTATGAAATGCAACCAGCTATGCCGTCTTGGGAATGGCCAAAGATTGTCTCATCCAAAATTATTTAGCTTGCATGAAGATAGCCTTGCTTTATCACGTTAACTTTTACATTTGTAAAACTGAAGTTTCTATTACTGATACTCAGTAGCAAAGCCAAAATGTATGGGCAGATGACTGTAGGGAAGGAACAAAAATAGAATAATTAAATTAGGAAGTACTAGCAATTTAATTCTTGCAATGCATGACTGCAAGGGATGGAAAAAAATCAGCAGACCATCTACACCTTTTTAGGATCACTTGTTTTTTCTGCTTACTGTTCAGAGGATCTCTGACCACAGAAAAGGAAAAAAGAGATTTTTTTTTTTTTTTAAATTTATATTCTCTTTAGAAGCTGAGCAACTATGTTGAGTGAAAGGGTTGAATGACTTATTACCATCTGTTATTATATTCTAAAAAATTGCATCCGTTACACAGACTGAATATGAACATGTCATTTGTGAGACTTACTGCTTATTTGGTATTCACTGTTTGTTTAAGAGACGCCAAAAGAGCATCTTCCATTTTAGACCTGAACAGAGTACCTTCAGCAAAGACTTGTGATCTCTAGATAAGCTTAGGCAGCTGATTCAGAAATAAAAATGGAACAGAGAAGGATACTCAAAAGAGGTACTGAAAAGCCTCCCTGAGGGGCTGGAGTCTTGTGTTTAAGGAAAGTTCTACCTTGGAAAGGTAGCTAGAATATGAGAATGTAATTCTGGCCATGAGGCTAGGATTTCTTAACAGGGGTTAGAAGAAAGTACCTCACACTATATTGGCCTCCTGAGCCTTTCACTGATGTTTTTTCCAGTGCCCAAAAGACATTGTCTGATGCAGGTGTAGCTATGTGTCATTAACCTGAGGTGCTGCTTTCAGTGTCAGGGCTGTTCCTTCTCTTCTCGATTAGTCTGCCCAGGAATTATAGACTCCTCCTTTTGTTCCTCTCGTTATTTTGCATCCTAATACAAAGGTCCCTCTCTGTTCCCCCTCCTAAATTCTTACTCCCTACCATATTATACACATATATACATACGTCCTACCATCCTACCATATAACTCTTTATTCTTCTTTTTGTCACTCTACTGCCTGTCTAATGAGAGCTGTGATCTTCGTTGTTAGGGCTCCCCATGAACTAGTCCTCTCGTGCACCTCACCCTAAAACACAAAAAGCTTCAATTCTCTTAAGTGGTCATAGTGGGGTGAGACTGTGAAAAGAGTATATCCACTTGAGAAGGGGGCACTTCTCCATCCTCAGAAGTTCCTGCTGGGTTAGCGATCAGTGCCCGTGAGCATTCTGTACCAGACTAGACTTAAAAGAAGAAACTGTTTAGTTTCTTTGGTACTAGGTAGTATAACTGTGTCCCATAGAAGGAGCATCTTTCAGTTACCTTTTTTTTTTCTCTCTAAAACATAGGTGGTACAGGAGTCCTGTGGTGGCTCTATGCTAAGCAACGAGTATCTGACAGTGCTGTTGAGTCTCAGATAGCCAAAGACAATCTTCAGGCTCTTCTGATCTATGCCATTTCAGCTACAGTCTTCACGGTATGCTTCGATAATCACTATATTATTTTCTTGTTCTGTCTTCCTGGTTGTCTCTATTTTTTTATTCAGGTGAGAGGTTTATATTGCACACATTTTTTAAGAGTTTATTTCTACTGCAAGCTCTGTTGCGGTGATTTTTTTTTTTTTTTTTTTTTTTGCTTCCAGGCATTGTTCTGTAATATCTGGTTTTGAGTCAGGAGAGAGTTCCTGACCCTGCAGCTACTCTCCTCTACTGTAAAATGTCCACAGGGACTTCCATGAATTGGTACAATATTGGACTCCCAATCCAGTTTCACTTATGAGATTTTTGTTAGGTTCCCAGTTCAGAGGTACTTCATCATTTCAGTTTATTTGAAAGTCCTTAGACCATTCCTACTTCTGAAATAGGTTGTTTCCAAACTTTTTCCACTTACAGAAGGATCATTGTGAACTAAAATGCTAGAAATTATTACTGAACCAATTTATCTTCTTCAGGCCTTGCTGTTAATTTCAAAGTTACTGACTTCACTACTAAAAATTGACAATGTTTGACTAACTTACATAACAAGCTCACCACACCATGCCCAAATATAGATGTTGAATTGTATTCTTTGTTAAATCTTGCTGATTTCACTGGTTTGTAAAACATAATTGAGGATAGAATGTGGTCTAATCTCATGAGCCTGAGGCTGATGGTGATTCCAAATACATAATTATGAGATTGGAATTCCCCAAAAGTATAATTTGGAAAATAATTTATCACCAGAAGAAGCTGATAGAGGTTTTACATTTTGATCTTGTGATCTTATAGATAGAGCATGTGTTAATTTGCTGTGTTTGAATATCTTAGCTTGCTTATTTTTCAATTCTCTAAAATGTGATTTGGAAACTTCTCCCTCTAGGTTATCCTGTTCTTGATAATGTTAATTATGCGCAAACGAGTAGCTCTCACCATTGCCTTGTTCCACGTGGCCGGCAAGGTCTTCATTCACCTGCCACTGCTAGTCTTCCAGCCATTTTGGACATTCTTTGTGCTTATCCTCTTCTGGACATACTGGATCACAGTCCTGCTTTTCCTTGGTACTACAGGTAAGCAGCTACCAGGCTTATTTTAAATAAATTCCACTTCATTTTTGCATGATTTCAGGCAGAGTTGGTTAAAAAGCATGTGGGAACCTCTAGAAAAAAACACATATATTATGCTTCTGTTGTTATCTGCTTCAGTGACTTCAAAACACTTGTTTCAAGAAAGTTGTTGTGCATTTGAGTGTGCGTTCCCAGTATGTTACTCTGTGCCTTAGGCCAGCTTTTTGATTCGATGCAAGTTGGCATGTTGCAAACCACAAGAGTCCATTAATAAGGCTGCTATAACAATTTTTCAAATAATTCCCTCTAATTTTACATTAACAGGTCAAAACCAGCTAATCTTACAGCTAACCTCATAAGGTATTGTATTGTATTGTAGCCAGTACTCGCACAGATGAAGACACAGTAATGAGAGGGCTGTTGCACACATTTACTGTCTCCCAAAATGTAAATATACTCAAAGTAGTGTTTTGTTTTTCATAACTTAGGTGTCTAGTATTATTTCAACATTTTCTAGGATTATTAGGGAGATTTTTCTGCTGTTCGTACACCATATCCTGAGAGCAGCCAATCTACTCTCAATTTCTGCCTGCTGTGAAGCGCATAGAAGATAAGAGCTTTGTTTGTGTTCAGGGTCTGACAAGAGCTTCTAGAATTAGTCGATCCTGTACGTTCAAATCTTAGTTACTTCAGCAGAGAAACCTAGCAACTGCTTTTTAAAATGGGAGATGTCTGTGTTATTTTGCAGTAAGTTGTGGACAATGGAGACCATCATTCATTATTAAAACTTTAGAATTTTGAAATTTATTGTTTACTGCAGAATCAAACGTAGGAGTGTTTCAGGTCATAGAGTTATTTCAGGATAATACAAAGTAAATATTTTTCATTTCATAGCCTGAAAGGGCAAAAAAAAAAAAAAAAGGTAAGGGATGGAGGTAATAGAATTCACATGTTCTTGTTCTCATTACTGTTGAAATTTTGTTTTCATTACATGCTGTGCTATGTGCAGAAAATGTTCGCCTCTGAAAGGGAGTTAAGTCTCAGTCCCATGCTTCAGTCTGTAAGTTAAAGACCACTGCACAGGGACTAAATTTGTAGCAGAATTTAGGCTGACATATTTTTCTGACAGAACTCTTCGATTGGCCTTGATTCTGCAAAGACTAATTTATGCTTTTAGCTTTTTATGCACTCAGTATCTTCACTGATATCAGTTAAACAAAATCTTCGTGCAAATAGGGCCAGATCTTTTCAATCCACACCAGGAGAACTGAAAAAGTGTGCGTTGCCTGTGTATGAGAAGAAGCCTACACTTATGAAGAGCTTGTTCACTAAACCCAAAATTATTTCAATAGTTCAATTTATTCACAAGAAAATACTGATTTTTTATATAAGCGTAAAAGCATAGCTAAGAAGGTGGAGAAGGTGCTATCAATACTAAGTGTAAACAATCATTTTCAAGGTAAGCATTTTAAACACGTGATGTTACTTTCAGTATTTTTCTGAATCTCATCAGCTCTTCACATAACTGTTGTATAAGATGAAACATCTCAATGTGGGTTAACACATTGAAATAGAGCTTGTCCTAGGAGGGTTCTGACATGTACTGTCAGTCTCAACACATGATACCGCTATTCAGATGAGACGAGAGTCAATGGATTTCTGAATGTATGAAATCAGATGGATAGAATCTCTAAAGCTGCTCCTTATGTTTGTAAATACCTTTAAAGCCACAAATATTGTTGAAATACATGCACAAAGACTTACCATAAGGAAAACAAAGGTGATTGTTAATGTTGACATCCAGATGCAAGGAGCTATGAAGTTTAACTTGGATTCTGACTGTATGAATACTATCAACAGAGCAGCAGACTGAAATTAAGAATGACTAAGGCAGGCTTTTATTATGTTTAATTATAACAATTTTTGCTACTTGGTGGTAGTTAGTTTTGGAAATTTTCACCATGTGGCTATAAATTAAGAAGTGTTGCAGGATTTTGAGTACACTCAGAATATTGTTTTAGTGCTTTTTTCAAATGCCATTATACGGATTGTCACAAAAGCTGTATCTTTCTTATGAACAATCTTCCTAAACATGACATTTAGTAGTGTTAGTAGAAGCTAGAGGGGTTCTGCTGTAGACAGTTATGAACTGCTAACACCATATGCTTCCTTCTTTCCGAGTTAATGTAAGTACCATTTCCTTTTTTACCTTCATTTATTTCTAGGTAGTCCTGTCCCAAATGAAGAAGGATTTGTTGAATTTCGGATGGTAGGCCCTTTGAAATACATGTGGTGGTACCATGTAGTGGGACTGATCTGGATCAGCGAGTTTATCCTAGCCTGTCAGCAGATGACAGTAGCAGGGGCTGTTGTGACATACTATTTTACAAGGTAAGGACAACTTAGACAGCTCTACTGTGAGCAGCCTAGAAATTGAATTAGCAGAAATAATGAGGGGGATAGCTTTTAGGGAGAATACTTGCTTCCGTCCTGAAAGCTGGAGAGCCGTTGAATTGTATTGACTCTTTTTAATCATGTCAAGTCCTAAAATAATCTGTTTTGCTGATTATAGATGGTATTCTTGATATTTAGGACTCGAAGTTGTGTTTGCCTTGTAACCTGTGCACATTGTATGGTCATGGATGACTGTTTACAAAGCAGAATGCACCTGGAATATAATCTGTAATGCTAATAATTAATGCTGATAAGCTTGGTAGAGATAAAAAAAATATTGAAAGCAATTGATTATTATTTTAATTGCAAAACAGTGCCCTTTAAATTACTTACAGTGTTTCGTTAATCTTTCTTACACAAGATTGCTTAAGGTGTTATTAGTCATCATTTACATATAGATTCTGACCAGATGATGTTCAAATAAAAAGTGATACAAAATATGTGTGCGTTAAAGCTCCATATTTCATTGCTGTATTTTTGTACTAAGTTGTGTATCAGGGCATACTTTATGCTGGCTATTCTGCATGTATCTGCTAGCTATTCAAGAAGGCAATTCTAATTATTAAGCAATGGTCTACCAACCTTCAGGCACGAGAATTTTGCTTCACAGAGATAAACTGATTTCAGAATCACAAACAGCTTTGGGTTTTAGTCTCTAGTAGTTGAAAACTTTTCTGAAATTACAACTGCTTAAAATTTACCTTAAATAAGTGAAAATTAAAGTTCTGGTTTTAGCCATTTAGGACCCAGTTTTTTCAGGAAAAAAATGGTATCAGGTGCTTTGTTAGTATTTCATGAGAATAAATGGTACTTCAGTGATCTGAAGTATTACATTTTGGTATGTAGAGCAGGTCTATGGCAATAATTTTGGTAAGGAAAAGAAGCAAGTACACTAATACCTGTCTTATAAAAGTATAGTTTAATGAAGTTTCTCCACATGTCATCCTAGATCTAGTAGTTCATGATACATTTCTTCGAACCGCCCCCCCCAAAAAAAACCCACCACATTGTTGTTCAAGAACTAGATGAGTAATTTTATTAAAGATGTTCTCAAAGTCTTTTCCAAAGAATATAAATACAACTCCACTGGATAAAGAGCAGCATGAGTAGAGGATGTTGACAAGATACTTAGCAATGGTGGTTTACTTAAGAAAGGAAAACCAAGATGTTGGAGTGATGCCATCCCCAAGAAGTATCCTAAATACACATGTAGTTCAGCTAGTGGGTTTTGGTATGTGTTTTTAGCCTTTCATATGAAGAATATTGTATATAAAAATTTCTAATGATATTCAGCAGCCACACTTTATTCTTGCCATGTGCTTATAACAGTCTGCTTTTTAAAAAAACGGGTTTTTAAATAATGCATGCAGAAATTTTTCAAGTGCATGAGTCAGATCACAAATGTTTAATTGGTTTGTCTTTTTAATTGAGACTGTTATCTGAATTACATTTGACTCCTTATCTGCCCTAGTCTTTAAAACAATATCAAAGGCAAGGAATTAATTTACTGTGCTGACAGAAATTCTGTTATTTTATTAATGATGAAGTCCTCCAGTGTACCAATGAAATACATCTGTGAAGTTATTACAGGATGCTACAGGGGTGTAATCTTGTGAATAATTAAACTAGATAGAGTAATGAACTAGGAAAATACAGAGGAGAGAGGATAACTTCGCATTGAAATAGATCACTTAGCAATGTGTATGCTTCATCTGTAAGTTTATGTATTTTCTGTCACCTGAGGGTAAATGATTTTTCTTTTAACTGTACCCTATCATTCCATAACAGGAATTTTATTTTAAGTTAGTAAGTACCCATTTCTCCCTAGTGTTACCCTTTTCTGCATTGTAAGGTACCATTCTGATCTGAAAAGTGACTTAGTAAGAAAGCAAAGGGCATTAATTTGGACTGCCCCATTATTTTGCATATTAGCAGCTTTGCACAGCAAATGAGGTGAAGTTTTCTATGGAGAAATGTTTTATATATGTTCATTGTTCATTCACCTAGCCGGATGGATTCCTTTCAACTCAGGCAATAGCAGACGTCAAGGTGTTCTGCATTACAGACTCTGCCCTCAGTTACATTTACCTTGAAAGGAGGAAGTGGCTGGGTCGCCTGGGTGTAAGCCTCAGACCTCTTACGAGATTGTGCCCAAAAGGGAATAGAATTTGGCTTCCCCCACCTGACCTCTAAAAGTTAATTGGAAGAAAATACAGGGTAAACCTATTTTAATCATTAACATCTCAGGGGTAAGTTACACAGATGTTAGTTTCATGGAATCAAGACTCTACTTTTTCATTTTTTTGAATGAAACTCACATGAAAATAACTTTCTCCCAAGCTGAGGAGATATTTTATGTTTGGAATGTTAGCACTTATTCCTTTAATATGCTTAGTAGTATGTTTGTATTTCTAATAAAGAAGAGCCATTCTTTAAATATTGAATGACGCTGTTCTTTGAGAAAGAAATAGAAGTGGCTTTCTTGGTAGGAAATACAAATAAAAACTTTAAGAAGGAATTGCTTCAAAACTGTGAAAGTGAGCATTCATCTGATAGATTAAAAATATTCTAGCCATGTTGCAATAAAATAGCTTGTTTTAAGGCTTAATACTTGGTTCTTTGAGGATATAATAGCTAAATCAAAAATGCAAAACATCTGAGAAAAGAATTTGCCTAATTTACAAGCTTGAGAAGTGGGCCCTTATGATTTTCAACAAGGCCAAGTGCAGAGTCCTGCACCTGGGTTGCGGCAACCCCCGGTACCAATACAGGCTGGGGGATGAAGGGATTGAGAGCAGCCCTGCCGAGAAGGACTTTGGGGTACTGGTGAGTGAAAAGCTGGACATGAGCCAGCAATGTGCGCTCGCAGCCTGGAAAGCCAACTGTTTCCTGGGCTGCATCAAAAGAAGCATGGCCAGCAGGTCGAGGGAGGTGATTCTGCCCCTCTGCTCTGGTGAGACCCCGCCTGGAGTACTGCGTCCAGCTCTGGAGCCTTCAGCACAAGAGAGACATGGACGGGTCCAGAAGAGGGCCATGAAAACCATCGGGGGGGTGGAACACCTCTCCTGTGAAGAAAGGCTGAGAGAGTTGGGGTTGTTCAGCCTAGAGAAGAGAAGGCTTTGGGGAGACCTCATTGCAGCCTTTCAATACTTAAAGGGGGCTTATAAGAAAGATGGAGACAAACCTTTTAGCAGGGCCTGTTGTGACAGGACAAGGGGTAATGGTTTTAAACTAAAAGAGGGTAGATTTAGACCAGATATAAGGAAGAAATTTTTTACGCTGGGGGTGGTGAAACACTGGCACAGGTTGCCCAGAGAGGGTAGATGCCCCATCCCTGGAAACATCCAAGGTCAGGTTCGACGGGGCTCTGAGCAACCTGATGTAGTTGAAGATGTCCCTGCTTATTGCAGGGGGGTTGGACTAGGTGACCTTTAGAGGTCCCTTACAAGCCAAACTGTTCTATGATTCTATAATAAATAACAATAGTAATATCCTCTCCAAAGTCTCCACAAAGACCTCCAACAGAACAGGAGAGATGGGGAAGGCAAGTTTATCAGAGGCCTGACTGAAAAAATGTTAGCTTTGTTTCTCACTTTTTTGGAAGATTTTGAACTGCACACCATCAAATGTAGTTTTATAG